TAATTTAACTTGTTTACCTTTTCATGCATTTGATGGCTTTGCTGATAGTCTGGATAATGCTTGCAGGAACTATTTATGTGATTCTTTATGTTTCAAAGCAAAGACTCCTGCAAGTTGAAGTTAGACTCCTGTGAGTTGAAGTCAAACAACTTGAATCAGTCTAAATTGGGTTCTACCAATTCCTTCCACACACCTTTCTAGTTAAGTGGAGGGAAAACTGATAATCAGTCAACCAACAGAAAAAAGATATGCCTCCCTACAAATCCCAGCTACCGCCACACACACCTTGGTGAGGTGTTTGGAATATCTTTTTGAGGAAACAATTGTATAGGCAGGTGTCTTTCTTGATCATATGTTTCATAGCAACTTGTTATAGGGTATTTCAAATACATTTTCATCTAAGTAGGCTCAGTTAAAACCCTGTGGTAGTCATGGTTGATTTCCTGTTGTCTTGACTTGAAATCCTATGTTGCTTGCATTGTTTTGTTCTATCTGATTTGTTCTGATTTGTTTTCTTTGGTTTTACTCTTTTAAAAACAATCCTGAATTTGTATCAAGTAGATATTAATAAAGAATGAGAGGGTTAATCACAAGTGTGTAATAGCATGGAGAGTACAGATCTAGAGCAGAAATCTAGCTGTCTCCAGAGTTCTGACAAATTTCCTAACATTTAGAGACAGAGGTGTGCTGCATATTAGACAACTAAAGTGCTTCAACCTTTGAGCAAGTCTGGCCTTTTCCTTCATTCTAAAGGGGAGCATTCTAAGACACTCGGTGGATACCTGTAGTTTAATGTCTTCTATCTTAACCATGTCCTTATCAATCATGGTGGCTATGTCTTTGCAGTTGAAGAGTGACAGCAAAACTGGCACCCATTACTCTTTACAAATATCACAGATTGAAAATTCATTCTTCCCATACATTTTAGCAACCTCAGAATATTTTTTTCTCTCCTTAAGTCAAGAACTTTCACATAAACACTTTATGTCTTCTGTTTGGCGTGTCTGAATTTCCTGTACCACTGTTGTTATGCTTTGGGGCTACTGTTAAGTAGAATAAGGGTCAGTTGAGCATATTGACTCACTGATAACTGAGTCAGTGACACTGATAACTGAGTCAAGTAACAAATGGACCAATAGTGGACACAGCATGGATAAGCCATACAAAGGGAGGATAAGCCATTTACAAGATAATGTGATGCCACTCAGAGGGTATGCAATTTAAAACTTAGTAACTGTTTATCTTTAGAAATTTCCACTTAGTATTTTGGAATTCCATTGACTGTGGGTAAATTAAACTGTGGAATATGAAACTATGGATAAGGGAGAATTATAATACTCTCTTTTCTAGGTCCCTATAATCAAAATTGTTAAATATTTCTCCAAAATTGTTTAACTATTCTTCCAAATTCTGTATCAATCTAAGTAAATTATGATGTCATTTAACATTTTCTAGTAAGTACTGAATCTGAAAATTTTTTAATATATTTACTGGAATTTTGGATTTCATCTTATGAATTTTCTCATAGTCTTTGTCCATTTTTTTGTACTTCTCATATACATTTAAAATTCTGTATATTAAAATGTTAACATTTTACTGCAGTCTAACTTTAAAATACAAATTCAGAATTTATTGTGCTGTATGGACTATGCTGGTGGCATCTTCCTTTTTTTTTTTTTTTATCAAATCAGGTTGCATAAGATAAGATGCTCAGAAGGCAGATAGACCAACAAAGGCTTCACAGATGCATTAATGCTGGATTAGCAAGAAGTGAGTTAAAAAAAGGTCACACTCCATAGAATAATGTGAAAAATGATTTGGACACATGGAATAAAGTCATGTCATGCTGGATCTCAGAGGAGAGTGGTGTTAGCTGAGGAGGTCTTAGATTCACCTTAAAGGGTATGGCTTCAGTTGACTAGCAGACAGGAACCATTTGGTGTTTGGGTTAGCATGATTAATTAAGTAGTTGGGAAAGATAGTATTGCTGTGGCTAAGAAAGATTCAGGAAATTGAAGATGCTTCAGGTAAGAAGTGATGGGAATTGAAACCAGGAGTATATTTGTGAGCCTTCAAGAGTCATGCTTCTTAGCACAAAGCGTGAAAAGGGAGGCTGAAGAGGACTGACGTTTTTGTCTCCTAGTGACAAATCAGACAGTGAGGCTGAATCTTAGATCAGGGAGCGAGGATGAAATAGGTTTGGTTTAACCAGGAATTTGTGATACAGATAGAAAGAACATCTAGCAAGAGCTATGTAGTAGTCACATGAGCACTAAAAATTGAAGGTACAAAACAGTTGTTAATGGAGATATAAGTATAAGAACTGTGGGCACAGAGGTAGCAGTTGAAGTTGTGAAAGAGAATAATTTAATCACTGGATTGTGTGTACAGTTTAAAAGACTCTAAGATAAAAACCATGGAACGATGACAACACTTAGAAGCCAGAGAAACAGCAAGATCAGTCAAGGAAAGTGAAATATACAGAGGTCACATGAAAACCCCGTAGGCTTCTATGTATCTTGAAGAAAGGGTGGAGGAAGTCTGAGTCCAGTGTAGAGAATTCTTGATGCATACTGTGTTTCGACTTTCTCTAAGGGCTCTTCCTTGTGACATGAGATTGGAGAGAGTGAAGCCAAGATGTAAGAGTTGTTACTGAGATATATACACTATAGGGAGCCTACTCAGGAGCATCGGATTAATGGTCCTTTAAAATTGCCTGCTCAGCACAATGTAAGCATTACAGATTTTGGTTATCATAATTAAATATTAAGCTACAAAGTGAATATGTAGAGCAAATTTGTAAATAATTATATTTGTAATATATGATGAATCCACATAAATCAAGATGTATGAGAATTCTAAGACTGATAAATAGAAAAAGTACTGATAAATTGAAAAATAACATAAGATTGATGAACAGAAACTGAAATAATGTCATGGAAGTAACCTTAGTATTAACTGGAGACATAAAATCAAATAATGCTATTTTTTATTTAGGAAATAATTGATTCAAAAGTACCACTCTACCTATCTGTAATGATTTTTACTATGTTTTTTCAAAAAGTTGAATTTAAGGTGGGTGCCTTACAAAAGGGACTTGGATTTGTTCAGTGGTTTTCACTGTATTTCTGTTGTAGTTCTAACTCTAGGTATCAAACTAGGTTTCCTACAGCATAGCAGTATATGATGATTTTCACATGTAATCACAAAGAAAAAAAGATTCTGGATTCATTAAAATAACAGATTTTAACAAAAGCTATATCCTTGCAACTACTTCTATAGTTAAAGAAAAGTTTTCCCCTTATGCTGAAGGAAAGATTATTCTTAACATTAAAATTATTCGAAAATCTCAAATAAGTAAACTTAATAAATTATTAGATAGTAATTAGTGTTAAAATGAAAGCTTGACTTGTCCTTATCTCAGTGACTTTTTCCATCTCTCATCCTTTCTCTTTCCTTCATTGATTTATTTTTTAAGATTCACTAGACATGATGCTGAGGGCTGAATTTTTGACTTTTATTTTCTCGGAGGATATAGTTTGCAACTTAGAAAATTCATTTGCAAGCATTAAAACAATACTTTTTAGATAAAAATACGTTGTCCACAAATATTTTGAGACATTCATTTTCTAAAATGATCCCACATGAAGGGCAATTGAGCATATAGTAAATGGAAACATCAGTGCTGCCATGATGGTTTTGTGGCATATGACTGGGAGACGAGCTGTGTGACACTCTCAGCCTAGTGAGACAGCCTAGGAGCTGTGCTGTTGTTTGCAATATAGGCTTATAGGGACTCTGAGCATTTGTAATCTTAAGGTAACTTGTCATAGGTGATGTGGGTATCTGTCACTGTTACTCTGTGCTGTCAAGACTGGACTGTAAGGGGAGAAAAGAGAGAAAGAGACTTCCTGGAGCCAGTCTGAGGGATAAAAGCCCTGGTGCTTCCTGTGGAATGGTTGTAATGACATGGGCCCTTTTTCTATTAGCAACAGCAGTCAGCTGTAGAAAAGATATCCTCACATGTATACATGTGTGAGGAAACAGAATAGCTACATACATAGAGGTACTACCTCTGGGGCAGTCTATGAAAGGCAGAGCAGAAGCCACACACAATGAATGTACACCCAGTTTTGGCATCCGGAAACTGCCATCTATGGATGAGCCGTTGGAAGGCAAACCTTCCATTAGTTGAAGCAGCTTTCCATCAACTGCCTGTTGCACGCTATCACTCTGCTCTAAACACTGGGAATCAAGTAAATGTAGGCAAGCATTGGACTTCCATGAAGCTTACCATTTTTCTGTGGTAAGTTTATGTCTCTGTGGACGGCTAAGTGAGAACAGAATGAATTGTATAGAAAAATACTGAATCCTATGATGGAAGCTAAAACATACAAGAACTTCAGGGAGAAGGTGACAGTAAGCACTGGAAGAGTGTAGAAAGGCTTTCTGAAGAGGAAAGGGCAGGCAGGAGGTGACAGGAGAGGTGAATGAAAGCAAACCAGGACTCCCCCACTCAGGTATGAGGCTGAGGAGACTCATGAGCGCACTCATGAGCAGGGTACTTGCATTTCACAAGCAGTTTATTTTCCAGTTACAACTTGACTTTGCCTTAAACTATAAAAACTATAAACATAGGCTATAAATGTATTCTAAGATCTATGCCACATATCGAAACTTACCCAATGCTGATATGAGACTTTCATAATTTTGTGGCTTTGTAACAGAACTCTAAAACAGCACAGTTTTCCACTTTCCATTCTTTCTCTTGGCCTACAGTGGGAGCTTGATATATCACAAAATGTTTCTGAATTTTTAGAACAGGCTTCACAAGATGAATCTCAGAGAAAGAATCAGGTCTTCATGGAGCCACAGGGTCAAGCTCCATTATGGAAGGGATCTTTAAGAGGATGTGAGCCTTGTGTCAGCAAGAGAACCTGCTAGCTAGAACTGTGCAGGGTTGCTCCCTGAGAACCTTTAAAGATATAGAAACTGCTTACCTTTGGGACCCATGTGAAACTTCACAGAGCATCCTATGACTGGCAGTCAACACGTAAAATCTGTTATTCAGATACCCGTTTGTAAAAGACCAGACGCTTCCTTTGCAGAGTACCATTGCTGCATCTTTGCTTTCTAGAAAATTAGCTCCTCTGAAATAATCTCCCCTGAAATAATGAACCAAATCCCACGATTAATATAGGACATTGCAGAATAACTGTAGAGTTAATCCGTAGTTACCATCATCTGTGGACAGTGTTGGTGAGACAAAGTATATTCAGTCCCTCACCGTAGCTGGAGGCTTTCAAAGATCAGGTTGTTTCACTGAGCCCCATCACTGTGCGCTGGTGACACAGCTCCCAGGAATCCTCCAGTGGCCAATAACAAAGGTGTTGCTTAATGAGCGGAGAAATCCTCATCACTGTCTCTATGAGCACTCTGTTTCCGCTCTTCATCATATGGCACCTAGATAGATGGAAATATTGTAGCACCTAACAAGCAGACATTGAAGTTTTGTTCTAAAGTGGCAAATTAAGTCTGTCTCTGGTGGTTCCAAATTATGTAAAATAAAAAAAGAAACTTTTAACTCTGATAGGTCTTGTCATTTCTGTTCAGTAGCATTTTTTTCATTGATGAATTAGAATCTTTTCCTCCAAAGAAACTCATCAACTTGCTCACTGTTATTCCTGGAAACATTATTTCGCAAGTGTGAAGTTGTCTGAATTTTTTTACCTTTATCATCATTTAGTTTTCCTAATGATGAATGTCGCAGTTCTAATAGCTTTTCATGAAACTTGAACATGGTATTTTTTCTCAAAAACAAAGCAACAAGTTATGCCAGCAGGTAAAAAGGAGGAAAACACCACAGGAACACTTCCCTTTTCAGTATGATTTGTAATTTCATGACCTCTGTGACAGATAGCTTTCTATTGCTGTAATAAATACAGTAGGTCACTTAAGGTATACAGATTTATTTTTGGCTCAGGATCGCAAAGTTTCTAGTCTGTGGTCACTTGCTGCTGTTGTTCTGTGGACCTGTGGCGACAGTACATCGGGGCAGGGAGTGTGTAGTTACACAGAGCTGCTGACCTCATGGCAGCCAGGAGAGAACAAAGGGCGGTGGGGCAGGCAGGAGTTGGAGTCCCATATTCCTGTCAAAGACCTGCACCGAGTCTCCTAAAGGGTTAGCACAGACGACCTGGCAAGCAAGGCTTCAACAAATGTGGGCTTTGGGAGATACTTAAATCTAAACCACAACCCCTCTCCCCACAAACAGTACCACAGCACACTGTGGGACTGAGTAGTCAGTTTTGCAACTTGAGCGGCCCCAGCTACTGCTGTTACAACTTTATGTCCTGTCCTTTGGGGCTCATTCCTTACTGGTTCTCTTTTCCTGTCATGGTCCTTTCACTTGAATTGTGAGCAGGTTAGATGGAGCCAGATCTTGAGCTGTTTAATTAACCTTATAGCATATGATATTTGTCACTAAAGAATTGATAACTCACTTTATACTTTCCCAAGTTAAATAGGAAGTGCTGGGATCACATCATAAAATTACAAATAGTAAACACAGATAGCACACTCTAGCTTTTCTTGTTTATTTGGTCCATATCTAAGGACCTAGTACAAATCCAGTGTCCAATATTGCTGCTTTTATTGACACTGTTGTTTTGAATGATTTAATCATGCAAGTTTGGAGTCACTGTGAGGAATATGACTTTTATATCAACAAAATATTTTCCATATCCAAAGTTATGTGAAAGTATTTTGTTTTATAAACATAGACATTAGTAGAGAAAAGAAAGGAGTTCTAGGTTAGATGTGGAGGGGAAGACTATACAGTGCATGTTCCATGAAAGCCATGTTGGTTTCACCATTTCTTCCCCCACAAGCCAGTGACGGGCTACACTGGCTGTGGAGCCAAAAACTGTGTAGGACTAGGAGTTTGATAGTCGTGTTTCTTAGTGGTATTGCTGTTGGTCTGATACTGAGCAACTCTACCTGCGGCTACCTGGCAACTAGTAAAGATAAAGGAAAAAGAAATGTCAGGCCTAGTTCATTTGATTTTTATATATGTTTTTAAAAATTACATCAGACTATTTTAATACTTGTCTTGTGTTTGACAGTTCATAAACAGCTTTTAGCATGTTATTTGATAACAACCCTTGAAGGTAAATTGTATATTTTTATTTTACAGCAATTCACATTGGCTTTAAAAAATCCACGTGGTTTGTCTACGTTTCTGTAACTAGTAAGTCACAGAACTAGATATGTAACTTGTGTTCTTTCTTTGTATACCTCAGTATCACCACTAGCTTCCCTGGTTCACTTAGCCCGAGCTACCGTGAGCATATTCCTGAGATGAGAGATGTCATTTTTAATGCCCTGGCATACAGCACATGAAGGTACTGAGAAGGCATCACATCCCATTGGGAGCTGCCTGAACTATCCAAACCTTCCCCACCAAAAGCTATCCTAAAATCTAACAAGACTGGCAAATTAAACGTGTACTTTTTACTTGCAGTGTATGATATGTTGTTTTATGTCTAATATTTAATTCAGTACCAAATTGTGTGTCCTTTATATTTAGAACTCAGTTTCAGCATGTAAATTCATTTATGCCCTTTTTATAGTTCTTAAAACATAATTTCACCTTATTGTTGTATATACTTTGTGTTATCTATTCAGCATCCATTAAATGAATAATGAAAACCAACCAAATGCTTTAAGTGTTCAACCTTAATGATTTCAGTGACAGTCAAGAAAATCCTATACCATTTCTGTGACTTAGTCAATGCTATCTTTGGACAGAAATCAATTAGACAGTGCAAACTTATCGAAGCAGATATGATCCACTCTGGACAGTGAAGTTGAATTATTTACCTTCTGAATAAAGGTATATTCATTTATTTTACCTGCTTAGTTCCACTTAGAAAAGTCCACTATGTTATTTTCAAACTATTATATTGTGCTACGTGTCAGTGACCCCAAAGACTGAATATATTGTCAATATTTAAGCATAATTCTGATTCATCTGATATTAATAAAAGAATATTCTTTTGTTGCTACATTTTGTTGCCATAATTTTGACCTTTAACCAAAGAATTTAATATTTCACCTAGATAAGTTTAACTTTCTTAAAACACCTTTTAAACATTAATGTGTTCCTCTGTAGGGAGAAAAATAAAACTCACAAGAAAATTGAATAAATGTTACTCATCTTTTATTAGTTTACTAATAAAATTTAATAGGTTGAAAACTATGCTAATATATAAATCAACTTCTCAAGGACGGATATTTCTGTGTTTATATATGTAAGTTTCTTTAAAGCTATTATATTTCCTAAGGCATAGTAATTCAACCTTTGTTTGTTAATGATACTATTAAAATGAGGTAAATGTGAAGTTGTTGATTGATAGCAACAAACCTCAAATCTTCTAGACCTGCCTTGCCATAGCATCAGAAACTATATTTACCTGTTTAAACTTAAATTTTCCTCTTTGTAGAAAGAAAGTTAATTTTCCTCTTTGTAGAAAGAAAGTAATCTCTTAAGTGGCTTACAGAACAGTTGTTCAGCTGGAAGGTGGAAGCAGAGTGACTTGTAGTATCCAGTGTCGTCACGAGGCATTGGTACCGTCTCAGGGTCATTATGTGTCTTCCTCATGACCTCTCATTGCATCCCAGTGTGTCATGGTACACAGCAGTTTCAGCACAGGACAAATTCTGCCTTAAAAACTAGGAAATCTAAAAACAACTAGTGCTGCTTTCCAAATTCAGATTTTACATTTTAAATAATACAAAATAAGAACAAACATGAGCTCTGCATGGAAATGTGTAACATACCTCAGGATGTTCCATATACCACCAGAAAACTTTAATTGAAAACTTACTGTTATATCATGCTCCTTTTGGTTGGCAAAGAAGTGTTTTGACATGTCATATCAGTATGACACTGCTGTTAAATTAAAAATTGTCAACATTGCCACGCATGGTGTTACATGTCAGTAATCCCAGCACTCAGAAGGCTGAAGCAGGAGAATCACAGGAATTTCAAGGCCAACCTAGGTGATATAGTGATATAGCCCAGACCAGGCTAAACTATATAGTGGAACCCTATCTCAAAACAACACAAAAATAAAAAAATTAATAAAGAATTATCACAAAAATAAAATTTAAGTGTTCCAAAGAAGAAACTTAGCTAATTTTTCTGGGCAGGATTAGTTTATAGATTACTAGTTTATAAATTATTAATGTAATACATGAAAAAGTAGGGGAGTAGAATCATTCCGGACATGTAATAGAAGTACTCATCAATGAATGTCATCTGTTTTAGTTCCCATCGTCTATCACAGTTTCAATTTAAGTTCCTGCTTAACAACTGCAGTGTAATTTTGTAAATATCTTGGGGCTTTGCTCTCCTAAAATAAGACATCTCCAGCAAGATTTCATTAGTTGTATAAAGCAGAGATTAAATTCAAGTTTTGTTGATTCTTAAAACTGTAAGATACTCACATATACATTGAAGATACTTTAGATGAGTTTGTAAATAAAGTGTATAACTTATCTTATTGTGTATAAAAATTCTGTTTCTTGGGGCCAGGGGTTTAGCTCAGTGGCATAAACGCTTGCCTCACAAGCGCACAGTCGTGAGTTCAATCCCCCAATGCCAAAAAAAATTTAAAAATTCTGTTTCTTATTTTTCCTCTTAGTTGATATACTCCCAAAAGAAAGGGGAAAAAAGATTTCTTAAATCTAATACGTTTATCTCTCTCATTCAGTCTTTAACAATTTAACTTGCATGAATAAAATTGTTTTTAAACTATTCAGACTAATAACATCTATTTAAAAGCATTTTTTAAGTTTTAAAACATTTTTTATTCTAGGTGGCAACTTGAATATCAACTATTTTTACCAAATATCATACATATCTGTTTCAGTGATAGATTAAATACTGTAGTTGATAAAGCAACACAGATATATTAGAAATACACAGTCCTAAAATACATTTTGCTTTATAAAGTTAATACTACTTAGAAAGCATCACTTATATCAGCTATATCAGTGCAGGTAAATTCTTGCAGCCTTTTAATCTGCACATATATAAGTCCAAAGGTGTTAAAATAACATTGATTTTTCTAGCTCCTTTGATAGATAATATCATCAATGTCTATCAAGTTGTTATTATTAGCAGTATGGAGAGGATGATAGAATTATTATTATAGGTCACTATATGACTAAACTCAGTGATCACAAACTTGAGAAACCAGAGTTCAAGTATGGAGTCCACATTATCTTTCTCCGTAAGAACATGTGTTGGAAAGAAAACCACATTGACAGAAACATCACACAGCTCTTCTGTATTAATTATGCTCTGCTTAAACAAAATAGAATGTCTTCTCTCAGTGACAGAAGAGAAGAGTGTATGATGGGAATTCTGAAGAGGATGGCAAAGCTGCCTGTCTTGA